CCCAGTACTAAAAAAACCCCAAGAAAGCAATATTTTGCCACAGAGCTCTGCAAGTTGTACTTCCTATTAAGTTTCTTTCACATCTATGTTATTACTCAATCTTAGTAATAGTTAGCTAATATTCAACCTTAGTAATACTCAAAGGAGTAAGGCAATGTTAGGGTTAGTTTAATGCTCTTTTTAAAAAATGTTTCAAGTAAGCATAGCAATAAGTTGAACCCCAAACTCTGCACAGACCCCTGTGTACACAGCGTTTTTTAAAATGCTGTTTACTGTCACAAGCTACTTGGTTTGAGAATGTTGAAATAATGCTTAAATAACACCAAATATGTGTGTCATGTTATTTTTTAGTGTATTTTATTATTGCTTAAATACTTACTCCTTACCTACTGAAAGTTCTTCCATTTGTATATTTGTTAGGATTCACACAGCATGTTCCTATGCGCTCCTACTGGAGGCGGAGTTAGCACCCTCACAGGACTAGTAAGAAATTCTGCCTTCTAATAAACTGCTTCACCTGCTTAAGCCTTAGTTCCCTTACCTGTAAAATGGGGATGAAAATAGAAGCTACCCATAAGGTGGATAGGGTGATGTGAGGTTGTTCATATAGCCTTTAGCAAAGAGTAAGCCCTCAGATGGTAGGTATAGTGCATAACCTATTCCTATGCACGAGTGATAATCAAAACCCAGAGAGAATGCATGATGAACACCAAGACAGTTCGCAGCTGGAATTTGGGGTGTCTGTCATTGACTCATGTCCCTCATATTGGTAATTTTGTTTGTTATTCATTCTTTTTTTTTTGGTACTGGGGATCAAACTCGGGTCCTTACGCTTGCGTAGTAGGCAGCGAAACCACTGAGCTAAATCCCCGGCCCTTGTTATTCATTCTTAAGCCCACTTTTGAGAAGATGGTGCTTCAGTTCGTTGAAGGACTTTTCATTGTCCTGAGATTTGTTTCTTCCCCTTGTCACAAATGTCATCTTTTCTATGAAGTTTAAATTTTTTTTTCTCCAACCTAAGCAATAGAAGAAAAGCCACTGCCTTCCTACACTGTCGGGTCAGATCAGCTTCTTGAGACAGGCTAAGCATTGGCGGCCGTGTGCTCAGAGACCACCCATGGGTGAGGCCGGACTGGGTCACCAGACCAGGAGAGCTCGGGGCTCCCAGAAACCCTGTGCTTCCTCTAGCTGCTCGGAATCCAAAGGCCTCTGCCTTTTTATGTTGATGACTTGGCTCAGGACCCTGGGAGCAGTCACCACTAGAATTGGCAGGCTTCTCTGAGAACACAGGAAGGGGGCCGAGATGGCGCCAAGGACAAAAATCAGGCCTGTGCTGCACAGGATGCCTGTGGCGTGGGCCGCTCTGCTCAGAGTCCTGATGGATCCCCTCTGTCATCTTCCTGTGGCCTCTGTTCCTTTGAACTCTTGTTATTGGAGATAACACCACAGAGGCCCTGGAACTCCTCCTGGCTTTGGGAAAGCCTCTGAGGCATCCAAAAAAAAATAGTTTAACATACTGGATCAGCCTTGTACACGGGGCTTTGTGACTTATCTGCCTGGGTACAACACACCCCAGGATCTGCTCCCAGGTTGCTATTTTGGGACCTCATCCCTTTCATGTCATGTTTCCCTCATCAGACCCTCAGTATCTTGGTCATTCTTTGTTGAGTGAAGCAGTCAGTGCCTGCCTGCTCAGCAGAGTGATAGGCACACATCTGACTTCTGGCAGAGCTCCTCAGGGCAGTCAGCGTAGAGTGTCCTGCCTTATGTCTGACAGGTCCTACTCACAGTACCAGTGAGCTGGGACACAGGCCCCAAGGTCGTGGTGCTGAGCCTGGAGTAAGAGCAAAGGCCTTGGCCAAGAGGGAAGGGCTCTGGGGGCTCCAGATCGTTCTGGCGACACTGTTTTGGCCACCAGTGAATCTGACCAGCAGTAAGTCCCTTTCTTGCATGAATGTTCAGTTTCTACCCCTAAGACAATGGGTCAGAGTCTAAATTCTGAGTATGTAGACCAGTCCCCGCAGGAAATGACAGTCCATGAGAAGAGAGAAAATAGGCCCGTGGATAGTCTCTCATAGGGGACGTGTGGTCACACCAAATGGCATCCCTTTGCAGCAACATGGTACCAGCCCTTCTCCACCAACACTGAGTATTACGGGGTTTTGAAAAGTTTGCTAATGTGCTACACCTTTAATTGGTATTTCTTAGATAATGAAACTGAAACTTGAATTTTGAGAGAAGGTATCAGAAAACAAACAAATTGCCTAAGCAAACTTTACAGTGCAGTAATTCTTGCTTCTAGTTCCTCCCCTGTGTCTGGGACCAGAAACTGCAGGATTTACCAAGGTCACAATGAAGGGTACCTTGGACTGCAAATGGTTTCACACTGGCAGCCTTCTAAGACAGTTCTGTGGGGCAAGGTTGCTGTGTAGGAAGTTCTAGCTTCTATTACAGCATAGACTTGAAAGAGACAACTGCTTTTTAAATAATTTTATAATCAAAAGGTTTTCCTTGAAATCCCTGTTATGCTATCCCTGATGGCTGTGCTTTTATATATAAGTGAAACCTCGGAAGGGAATCCAGGTACTTTTTGGCAGCGACTGTCAACTTAAACACCCTTATGTTGTCCAGGAGGGGGCTCCCTGCGTCCTTGTAGCGCCCCCCAGACCCCTCGAGCCTCCCCAGGCCCTTTCCTACTTCTGCTGGACTGGAGCCTAGAGGGTCCTCCTTCTGCCCAGGCCTGGTAAAAAGGTCACATGGCAGATGGAATTCTACCCCCCCACCCCCCACCCCGGCCCATCTGCCAAAAACTGGCGGTGCAGCCCCTGCCTGGCTTGTCTGTCGTAAGTGGTTGCTGATAACATTGGTCCTAGGGACAATGCCTGTCAAGTGTCAGACCAGCACTCAGACTTGAGCCTTTTGTGCACTGAGAACATGTGTTCCCCAGAGGCCCTATGCTCCTCTCAGGGGTCCCCCGCTTCCCTGGGCCTCCCTCAGATTCCTGACCTAGCCTCAGCCAGGCCACGAGGTACGAACATCAAACTGGATGCTGGATATGCAACTGGCCTTGAAGTCCAGCCATGCTGTTGACTGACTTCAAACTTGAGTCCCAGGGTGGCTGTGAGCCTACAGGCCATATGTGTCTGGGTGTGTGAAATCCACACTTTCAGCCACCAGGCAAATGCTGCAGCTTCAGACTGTGAGATGCATTTACAACAGCTCTTACCGTGTCTCTGCAGCTTGTGTGGGATTCATAAACATTGATATATATGAATGTTTCTGCCCCTCGGGGTACTTTAGGCTCTTGGGTACACTAAAGTGTGTGTGCATGTGTGTGTGTGTGTTGTGGTACTGGGGATTGAACTCAGGTCCTTTACACTAAGCTGCATTCTAAGCCCTTTTCTATTTTGAGACGGTTTCACTACGTCACTGTGTTTGCCCAGTCAGGACTTGAACTGTGATTTCTCCTGGCATTCCAGGCATGTGTCACTACGTCCGACTTGCACTAAGATTTTGATTGAGAAGGATTTGGAGAAAAAAATTAGATTTCATATGAACACATTTTGAAACAACAGCCCATCGTCACCCCACCTTTTCTCTGGAGACTGGGGAGTTGATTCTTGTGGTTGGACAGGTCAGAGGACTATGCAGGAGGAAACAGTCTGGAGAGTTCTTTTCCCTGATGATGAGAGCTCTGAATATCCCTTATGGCCTTAAGAAAGCCACTAATTCAAGGACAAGTTTAAAAATACCTTGGAAAAAAATAAGAATAAAAATATCTGGAGCAACACGCATGGTGGGATCCCTCTATAGTCCCAGCTGCTTGGGAAGCTGGGGTGGGAGGGTCACTTGACCCCAGGAGAGTGCCTGGAGAACATCTAAAAATAAGTAAATCAATAAATTGGCTGTGCACATTCAGGGGTCCAGCTGACTGCATTCCATTTGTGCTCAGACACTTACTATGTGACCTTGGACAAGTGGTCTGGCTTCTCTGACACCTCAGTTTTCCCACCTATAAAATGAGGATAATGTTATCACCAGTTTGAGAGTGTTAAATGAAGTAATAGTGCATGTAGGGGGCTTTGTGCCTTCTTACGAAATGTGTTAGTTGATATTACCAGATCGTTTTTCATGATTACTCTTAATTTGGGGACATCTTTAAGTCATGTATCTGCTCTGGGACTCCATAGCATCACAGAAAGGTAGAAACTCCAGCAAAGTTAAAATTAGTAATGACATCAATTAAAGGTTTAGAGTATAGCTTGCTAATCAATTTCCCTTTTATTTCTATGGAAAACAGGTTTAAAGAGCAGCCTCACTTCTCATTCTTATAAAGATGGCATTACTTTATTGGATCCTTTCCCTAGCCACAGGTTGTATTTGACCAGTCAGGACTCCTAGAAGCTAAGAAATAGTTTAGAACCAACTAGATCGTGGCTGCGGGGTCGGGGTGGGGGGCTGCAGACTGCCAGGTGGGTCTCCTCCCTGTCCCCCTAGGTGCAAGGTCACATGTGGGCAGGGCTGGGGCAGGACTGTGGCCAGTCACTTGAGAGGCTCGCAGAACCTTGTGCAGGTAAGTGTGGCACCACGATGCCCACAGGCTCGTGGTGCCCAGAGACTGTGGAGACTGTCCCCATGCGTAGGCTGGGTGAATGAGCTCATGCACCCACTCAGAACGCACAGGAGTGGCATCCGTGCTCCTGTGGGGTGGTGTCTATCATCAGAGGAGTCACAGATGAGAATGGCAGTGCTGAGCAGGATTGCTCCCGGAAAGTCTGCAAGAGGCCTGGCCTCCTTCACTGGGGAGAAGCAGGTCTGCAGGTTTCAAACTTTGAATAGTCTGTATTAGCAAAAAAATAAAATGCCATTTGTTTCTTCTTTTCTTGGGGGTAACATTTCTCAGTTTTTAAATGATTAAGAAATGAGTAACCCCAGGGAGCTTTCTGGCCTCTGGTTTGTGACATGCTAACCTTTCTTTTCTCTTCTTTTCCTTCTCCCAGATACTTACTGGAGCAGGATTTCCCAGGCATGAGGATTGGCCCAGAGCCCACCACTGATTCTTTTATCGCCGTGATGTACGGGGAGACAGAGGGCAACACCCCAGGGAATGCTTTAGTTGTGGACCCCAAGAAGCCATTCCGAAAGCTTAGTCGCTTTGGAAATGCTTTTCTGAATCGGTAAGGACCAGCACACTGCTGATCTTTGGTCAGGTTGTTTTAACCTTTTCTCCAAATTATTGCCAATTACATGTAAAGATTCAAGACAGAAAAGCACAGAAGGTCTAGAAAAGAGAAGTCATAGAGGATATGCTCACCCTAGTCAGACGTTCGAAGAAGACTGTCCCAGGACATGATCGTTTATACCTGTGCTTGACACTCCACTGGACAGAGCAAAGCCAGGACTGGACAGTATAAGGACGCAGAGTGTAAGAAACAAGGCCTGCTGTTCTGACTGCCTACCTCTTTTTTTGTTACCCCTACCCTTTCCTCCTCTCTCTCTCTCTGGTTTGTTTTTGTTGTTGTTGTTTTTGCGGTGGTATACTAGGGATTAAACCCAGGGCCTTGTGCCTGCTCGGGCAAGTGCTGTAGTGCTGAGTACATCCCCAACATGTAAAAAAAATTTTATTTTGAAACAAGATCTGGCTATATTGTTAAGGCTGGTTTGGAACTTTCAGTCCTCCTGCCTCAGCCTTCCAGGTAGCTGGGATTACAAGCATGCACCATCACACCTGGCTCCTAGCCTGCCTTTCTTTGTTTTGTTTTGTTTTGACAAGGTTTTGCTATGTATTCCAAACTTGCCTTGAACTCACTATGTAGCCCAGGCTGGCCTCAAACTCATGGTGATCCTCCTGCCTCAGCCTCTTAAATGCTAGGATTACAGGCCTGCACCACCATCCCTGGATCTTTCTTTTCTTTTGTTCTTTAGTTCTTTCTTTCCTTTCTTTCTTCCTTCCCCATCCCCCATCAGCTGTTCTTGTTTTTATTTTTATTTTACTTCGTACAGAGGAGGGACAGCATACAAGACTTGTTCATGTCTGGCTTATTTTGTCTAATGTGGTCTCCCTCAATTCCATGTATTTTACTACACATGACAGAATTTCATTCCTCTTTAGGGCTCATACTCCACGGTGTTTATGCATCACATTTTCTTTATCCCTTTATCTACTGATGGGCACCTAGGCTGATTCTATAGCTGTTGTCAGTAGTGCCGCAGTAAATACAGGGGTGCAGGTGTTTCTCATTTGCTGGTGTCGTTTCCTTCAGATGTAACCCGTCAGTGGGATACCTGGGTCATAGGCTAGGTCTAGGTTGAGTCTCCTGAGGAACCACCACACTGGCTGTAGTAGTTACATCTCACCAACAAATGTATAAAAGTTTCTTCTTCTCTACTCTTTGCCAGCATTTTTGTTTGTTTGTTTTTTAATAATGGCCATTCTAACTGCAGTGAAATGGAATCTCACTGTAGTTTTGATTTGTATTTCCCTGGGGTCTGGGGATTTAGCTCAGTGGTTCTGCCTTGATTTGTATTCCCGGACAGTTAATACTGAGCACTTTTTCTTTTTCTTTTTTTTTTGTGGTACCGGGGATCGAACTCGGGTCCTTGCACTTTCGAGGCAGGCGGCAGAACCACTGAGCTAAGTCCCTGGCCCACTGAGCACTTTCTAGTATATTTATTGGTCATTTTTCTTTCTTTCTTTTATTTTGAAAAGTATCTGTTCAGATAATTAGCCCATTCTTAAATTTTACCTGTTTTTTTATGTTAAGTTTTTGAGTTCTGTGTATATTCTGGACATTAGTACTCTGTAAAGAGTTTCTTGCATTCTATAGGTTGTCTCTTCACTCTGTTGATTCCTTTGCTGTGCAGATTTTTACTTTGCTGTGATTCCGCTTGTCAGTTTTTGCTTTTGTTTCCTGTGCTCTGGGGTCCTATTTAGAAATCATGTTCACAGATTGGAAGAATTAATATTTGTAAATGACCCACAAGTGGCACGGTGCAAGCCCTGTGATCTCAGCACTGCGGGAGGGGGGCTGAGATAAGGGTCTCAGGTTCAAGCACAGCTGGGCATCTTAGCAACTTATAGAGAGAGACCTTGTCTCAGAATAAAAAATAAAAAGCACTGGAAATGCAGTTCAGTGTGAAGGCTCTGGGTTCAATCCTTAGTACTGGGGGAAAAATATTAAGTCCTCTTTTATTTTTGTGATATTGGAGTTTGAACCTAGAACCTCCAACATGCTAGACCAGTCTTCTACCACTGAGCTACATTCTCAGCCCTTTTTATTTTTCATTTTGAGAGAGTCTCACTAAGTTACCTAGGCTGGCCTTGAACTTGGCAATCCTCCTGTCTCAGCCTCCTAGGTAGCTGGAATTACAGGTATGTGCTACTGTGCCTTGCTCCATACTTTCTCATTAAAATCCTCTTCTCTTCTTTTCTGTCACCCTACACTCCTCCATTTCCCTCTTTTGTGGGTCTGACTTTGGGTGGGTGCAGCTGGTCATAGGAGGTGCAGAACTGGGGAGCACTTGGAGCCTGGTAGGGAGGGGAAGTTGGATTGGTGTTGATGGGCGGCAGGGATCTTGTGCTGTACTTCTCCTTTCTAGATGTTTCTAAAAATAGGAAGACCTCTCGGCCAACTGCCACCCTCCTGGAGGCCCAGGGGCCCACCCCTCATGCCCCAGGGCTGGTGGTATGGACCTTGACCTTGCAAGGGGCAAGTGCTGGAGGCTGTGCCACAGCTCTGCCCAGAGCACCCTGGTGCCCTAAAAGCCGGTACCCTGGGGGTGGCTCTTTCCTTTAAGGCCTTTCTCATCCTCCTGTTGTGCAGCAAAGAGAGCATCTGAGTGGTAGCAAAGAACCTAGGCAGTGGGACAAGCATGCACGTGACATTCTTGAAGTCAAGACCTGTCTCCTTATGCTGCTCACAGGGCTGCTCCCCCTGCAAGATTCTTCTTCTAGGAGGAGCTCACTCCTTATCTCTGAAGCAGCTGAGTTCGGCAGCTTCTTGTAGGAGAAGCAGAAGTTGAGCTCAGGGTGAGATACCCCAGAGGAGCAACTCCCAAGGTCCCTCAGGACGAGTGCACCGTGCTGAGGGGAAATGAAACAGAAGCTCCCAGTCAGGCCCTCTCTGGGATCCTTGGACCCAGCACAGGCAGCAGGCGAACTTGTGGTCCAGCACTGCCTTGGAAGGCTCCGAAGGCCCTACTCCCCTGCAAGGTGCTCTGAGCCTTGTGGTCTCATCAGCACCACCTTTTGTCTGACCAAGGCGTAAAGAAGAAATAAGCTGCCGGCTCTTTCAAATGCTCATTTTGTGAAGTCCATATTCACAAGGGAAAAAGCAGGAAGACTGATTATTGGCTTGTCTTATTTTGGCAAATGATTTACTTTCCTAAAAGAAACAGTTTGTTTTTCAAATCTGAAACACACAGCAGATAAGTTTGGAAGTGCAGTTGTCAGGAAAGATTTTGGTGTTTTGGGTTTTCATTTTTGGATTTTTTTAGAGGGAGTTTTTTTTTTTTGTTTTTTGGGTTTTTTATTTTTAGCCAGGGCCTCACTGTGTATTCCAGGCTAGCCTTGAACTCGGAACTCGAGGTGACCTCCTGCCTTGACCTCCTGAGTACTGGGACGACAGCTGTGTGCCACCACGCCCAGCAACAGGGAGGATCTTGAATGGCAAAGTTTATTATCAGAATTTAGAAGGTACTGAAAATAATCCATGTATTATATACTCAAACGCTAATTGAGTTCAGAGTAATACATAGAAAAATAATAGCAAATAATTATATGGCATTCACCATTCAAATTTTCCTTCTATATTAAGCACAAAATGCTGGAGTATATTGGCTTTAAATCCTGTTATGTGTCTGCTACCATTGTCTTCTAGGAAGGGAGAAGGAACTGCAGCATAGAGAGGCTACTTTAACTTCCACGATGTCGCTTGGCCAATACCTGGCAGTGCTGGGATTGGAACCCAGGCTGCCTGGCCAGAGTCCTACCAGAGACCGCACTGCTGAGCTGCCACAGGGCGTGGGATCTAGACTGAGTCCTGGCCTACAGTTCTCATTTATCATTAAGGCAGTTCCTGGGATAGCCCCCAACAAAGATGAGGAGAAGGTGGTAGTGAATCCGCCTTGAGGATACCGTTTCACCATACTATGTCTGTGAGGTAAACAGGTGATACATGGCCAGTTCACACGTAAGAAAACTAGAGGAAAAAGGGCTTTGCTCCAGAAGAGGTCCTCAGGAAGGGGCAGAAACAAGGGATTTAGGTTCCAGAGGAGGAGGGTCTGTCCTTCTAGTCATCCAGGTGGCTGTGCCTGTATAAGGCTCCTAAGTAAGGAGCGTGGCCTGGGGGAATGAATTGACAGTGCACTGTGGCCACATCCCAGTCACCACAGGACATCACTGTGGGACAGCCCTGTGGCCCCTCATGGCACTGGCGAAGGAAGAGTGTCAGGAGTGTTTAGTGGAGGTGCCAACCCAGAACCAGGGACAGCAGCCCCCTGGGAATGATGCAGGGTTAGCACGAAAGGCTCTTTTTACACAGCATGCTTTCCCAGAACTAGGTCAAAATAGAAGAGTTCATAGGAAAGAAAACTGATGATTTTCTTTGGAGAACATTCTCCCCCAGGTCGTGGTGACCTGTCCCATCATCACAGGGTATCAGCTTGGCCATCTGTTCCTGGGGACATCTTAAGAGTTAAGCTGTGGAGGGCGATGCCACCTTCAACATGAGGCAAACCAGTGGGCCCGTGTCTCAGTCTCTAAGCCTAGTTTTTTAAAAAATAATTGTTTTTACTGCTTTTGTAAATCAGGCATTAATAGTACATATTTACATCTAAAACATGGCCAGATTCGGTGAGAACAGGCATTAAGTGCACCTCAGCAGTGAAGCCACTTATTAATCACTTTATGAAGTCATATCTGTATAAAAATAAGCATAAGCACTTAGGACAATAACTAGACTTAACTACAGCTAGTAAGTGACAAAGATGTTTATAAATAAATACCAAACCCTAAACAGGAATTCATATGTATTTTACTACCTAAGAATTTTCACATAAAGTAAACAAAATCCAAATCCCAAACTTGCGGGATATCAAGTTAATACACATCTTCCCTTAGTGGAGGCCTATCTAGCCTCAGTAACATTTCCAAAGCATAAAGCCATACATTTTTAAGATTGGTCCAGCTGTTTTCCCTCTTGTTTAATTCTTTCTTTGCAGTGTCGGCAGAGTAGGTGGCTCTCTAGAATAGCTTTGTTGGCTTCATTTGTCTCTTCTTTTTGCTTCTCTCCAGTATTAGCCTCGTCTGTACCCTGGCTGTGTTCGTTACTGTGTCATTTCCTAGGGAGTGGCTGTTACACAGCGCTACCTGCCTGCCTTCCAGCCTTCCAAAGCTAGTTGTTTATTTTTCTCAGTGCTTCTCTGTTTGTCTTTGTTACACTTCTACTTGACTCAGAAGCAAACTTCTCACGTTCATATGAGTTTGTCAAAGGGGATCTAATTCAGCAGCTGTTAAACCAAGGTCAGTATTTTCCCCTACTTCATCTATATTATTACTAACAAAATCTTCATGTGAAATAGGGAGATCAAGTCAATTTTTTTGATTTTTGTTTTGTTTTTGTTTGAGACAAGGTCTTGCTGTGTAGTTCAGAGTGGCACTGAACTCACTATGTAGCCCAAGCTGGCCTCGAACTCATGTCAGTCCTCCTGTCTCAGCCTCCGGAGTGCTGGGATTACAGACGTGCGCCATCACGCCTCGCTTGAAATTGTTTTAAACAGGTCTGAACCTCCTTTTTCTTTCCCAGATAGTCAACTCTTAATAAAACTGCAGTTTGGGGAATAGTCTGTGTGTCTAGGGCTCCATGTGTCTGATTAGTGTCTTCAAGTCTTCAACCTTTGACTTTTACCTTTGAATTTTGTCTTGTCAAGCACCTGCCTTGAGACTGGAAGCCCTCTCTCTGAAATTAATCTCTAAGCATCCAGCTTGGGTGTATTCCTTTTAACTGTTCTCTTTGGAGAGGCAGGAATAGGTTCTCTGCTTCGTAACTCTAGTGAAATATAACAAGATTTAGTATTAAATAATTTAAACTTTATTTATAAAACATTACTTCTAAGTGGGTAGATGGATGGCTGAAACATGGATAGTTTTTATGAAACTCAAAGCAGGCCTTCATCGGATTCAGCTCCTTTACCATCTCTCTGTGGAGAGGCTGGAGATGGAGAAGAGGAAAAGTCTCATCTTGTACATGTCCATAATCGGGTAGGTCAACCAAGCCATGGTTCTAGCATCTTTTCACTCACGAAGTCTGCAGCAGCCACAGCACAATGCTCGGTGTGGTGAGCAAACCACACCCCTCATGAGACTCTTCTGAGCCTAGTATTTTTTTTTTTTTTTGGTACCAGGGATCGAACTCGGATTGAGCTTGCACTTGCGAGGCAGGCAGCAGAACCACTGAGCTAAATCCCCGGCCTTTCTGAGCCTAGTTTTGAAGAGACTGCCCAGCCCTCCACACCAGGAGGAAAGAGCAAATCGTACCAGGAAGCCCTTGAGGGACAGCCCCAGGGCTGGGGCCATTGCTCCTTCATTTCGGAGTTCACCTTGTGTGTGCTTCATGCCGTGGGATTAGTAGCCAGGTAGTTAGGACCCTGGACTCTGCAGGTAGAACTGCCAGGCCAACAGCACACCAGCCCCTTTACTTGTCATGCATGGACCCTCAGGGGCCCCATCTCCTCCTTTGTAAGGTGACAGGCACAACCTGCTTGGGTTGCGGAAGGACTGAGTTCATGTGCACAGAAAGTGCTTAGAACAGCCTGACACAATGTAAGTGGTAGGGAAATGCTGGTGCTATATTGTTAGTACTGCAGCGACTACGGACATCACTGTTTCAATAAGAAATCAAAATCAATGTGAAGGTACTAACTGGTTCCTTTAAAAGTCTAGTTTTATAAATGTTGAGCACTGACATTTGGCATTTAGAGGAAAATTTAAGTAATCGAATCCTGTCACCGCCTCCTTTTACCGTGAGACAGGACGCCTGCAGCCTCCCCGGGGCCTTACAGCCCCTGCCGTCTCCCGTCTTTCTGTTGCCCTGACCTTCGCTAGACATGGGGGAGGTGTAGAGTGGGTCTGGGCAAAGCTCTCAATTGCTCCCTTCTTTTACTCCGAACACGAAACTCTGGGGAAAGACACTTGTGAAAGCTGAGCATGGCTCTGGGTCCAAACAGCGCAGGTCTGCGTGTTTAAGGAGCCAGGGAGGAGGCTGGGTCCGTGCTCTTTGTGCGAGTCCCTCTAGGAAGGAATAGGAAAGCCATCTTGGGGCGGCACGTCTGTGCTTGGAAATGTCTCAGCAGAAATGTGGGAGCAAGACTGGGCCAACTACGGTGGATGTAAGAAATGACTGGCTCTCCGTGGTCCCTTCTCAAAGGAAAGGAAAGGCACAGTGGCTAGAATTTTCTGATTATAGTGGCATGTGCCTTTCAGAGCACATCTGTACTTGGTTCTGACCTGTGCTCCCTCTCTCCTGCCCACCCTCTGCCCTGGGTATTTTCTCGTGTGGAGTAGAGTCCAGCTCTGCACACAACCCTTGCCACCCTGAACCCTGGTTCAGATTCCTCCTCCTCCTCTTTTTGGGTGCCTTCCTCTCCCTCAACTTGCCCCTTGGTGTGTTGTGCAGTGACATGAGCTCCTCCCACCACCTCCTGCTCTCTGGCCCACACATTTGGCCTCTGCTGTTGTGTCAGGAGGCTTGGGCACCAATGAAATACTGTCACTTTACGCAGAGAGGGTAAAAAGTGTGCATACTTTGAGTCCCTCTAGCCCTGTTCCAGAAATCTAGGATTTGTGTCTTGGGAAGATTGATACTGAGTGTGAGCTTGTGGTTTGGGGAAAAGGCCAGCCTTCCCAATGCTTGCAAGTAGCTGCAATATGCTCAGCATTGTCACAGGCCTCGGCCATCTACCAGAAAGAAATGGGTCTAACTAGGATGTGCTCAAAACTCTGTTTCTTCCCCACTTCTCTAGAGAAGGGGATGGTAGTGTTTTTCTCTCTGTGAGCTGGACCCTTTATTTTTACCATTACAAGGGTTTTGTTTTTGTTTTTATTTGCTTGTATTTTTTTGGTTTTTTGAGATAGGGTCTCACTGTGTACCTCTGGCTGGCCTTCAGTGGGCGGGGACCCTCCTGCCTCAGCCTCCCAAGTGCTGGGATTACAGGCATGTGCTACACACCCAGCTCATTCTGAGGTTTTTAACTTGATGGGTTGAGTTCTGCTTGCCTGACATCAGAAATGTCAGGTCACAGCCTCCAGGCAGCCAGGCGTGAGCACATGACCTCAGTGTCATAACTGTCTTGTGCTTTGGCTTTTCCACCTACAAAAGAGTGGTCCCGGTATCTTTTCCTACATATTCCTGATCTGATTTGGAAGTATCTGAAAGAAGCGTGTCCTGAACTCATAAGGTAAAGTGATCTTGATTTGTCAGTAATGGCATGTCAGGCTCCGGCACCTCCCTGTCCATGGGACAGTGCTGGCTACAGGCACTGTTGGTCTGGGTGGCCCCCCTGTCCTGGATTCCCAGCATGCTTACTTTCTGAGTGATCCTGCCACTTCCCCTGAATGGAAGAATTGAGTTGGGCCTGAGTGTTTTCGGTCTCTCTGCCCACAGAGATACAGAAGTTAGCATTTATAAAACAGGAAAAGGAGAGGTGCTCTAAGTTCCTCCGTAAGACAGATACAGGGCCTAGCAAAGATCCAGCCCACGCTCTGCTGCCCAGGCTGCTAGGAATAGAGTGCTTCTTGCTGGTGTGGTGGCTTTCACAGGGAAAAGCCACAAAGGACATTGCTGGTGTCTGGTCCAGATGTCTCCGTTTCCACATGAGGAAATGGGCTCAGAGGAGGAGGTCCTTGTCCACAGAAAATGACAGCAGAAGCTGAGCAAAACCTGAGCCCAGGTCTGCTGGCCCTGACATTTTCTCCCTACCCCGTCCGCTGTCATGGAGCAGACTCTGGGCAGCTGACTGGAACCAGAGGGGGAAGGGCCAGGGTCAGAAGGAAGAGGCGACACCAGCCAAAGAAGGGATGAGGGAATATGTGTAGAGGAGCTCAGCCAGGCATCCCACGGTTCGGACCTTTCGCCTGTTCTCAGGGCATCCTAAGAGCCCAGCACCCGAGGGAAGTGGGGTGTTGCCTGAAGGACCCTGTTCCTTGCTGACTTAAGGCCATAGGAGCACTGAGCTGAGTACTAAGTCCTGGAACAGAGGACAGAACCTTGGGTCCCAAAACCCACAGCTCTCTGGCTGGGCTATGCACAGAACAGGCCAAGGACCTCGGGATACTCCTCTCAGAGGGCCAGTAAACCCTAAAGAAGCATGGGGTTCCCTGCAGCAAAGGCCCAGGACTCCTGGGCAGGGAGCAGCAGGGGGCTGTGGCTGTGCACTCAAGCCACAAGCCCAGCTCTGAGCACCTCTGAGCTAGTTACTAAACCTCTCTGAGGTTGACAGTAGGTGGAAACTCAGGGGTTTGATACATGTTACCTACAGTCAAAATAATCAGTGAGGAATCAGGAAGCAGCAGGTGCCAGCTCCCCTGCCACCCCTGTCCCGTGGCCCAGCATCTACGCTGTGGCACCAGTGGGATCCCTGTCCCTCTTCTCCAGGCCCCTGCTTTATGGCTTCATGGGCGTCTTTAGTCCTCGTTGGTCTCTTCCACACTCCCTCTTTGCGGACATCAGAGAGCCCCAGGCAAGGCCCGGTCTCTGACTTTGCTTTCTGTCCATCTCTTCCAGGTTCATGTGCTCCCAGCTGCCCAATCAGGTTCTGAAGAGCATCAGCATCATTGACAGCCCCGGCATCCTGTCTGGGGAGAAGCAACGCATCAGCCGAGGTCAGTGCCTTGCCCGCCACCTCCCACCTCCCGCCTCCACCACAGCTCACTGGGACCCTTTCTGATGTGAACAGAAGGTTTCTTCTCTGGTCATGTTCTCTCCATCCTCTAGGACAGCACTGCCCAGGATGCCCCTTAGTGTCCCTGAGCAGCTGAAGGGCCCCCCATAAAACAACCAGTGGGTAAAGAACCACAGGTACAGCAATTTCAACTGAGGAGCTGGCCTTGCTAAGGCCACACATTTAAGAGAGGAAATATCCCTTGTTAACTGTCATTTGGACATGGGTGACAAAAAGTAGAACTGGTCATGTAGGGAAGAGAGGCCTGTGCAGCTGCTCCCCCCTTCAGTCCTGCACACTCCAGCCCTCAGCCCTTGTGGTGTCCCTCCCCTGACCAAGCCTGTCCTGGGGGACTCTGTGGGAATCCTGCCCAGGGACACACAGAGGCAGGCATAGTTTCTGCCCTCAAGCAGCTTATGTTCCAGTGAGGAAGACAGCTGTCAGCCAGATTGTCACAGAGGCAAATGGAAGATGAGGACCAGGCAAATCATTAAAAGATGTGGCCATGTGTCCTGGTGTATGGGGACCTTCAGACCTGAAGAATGTGTAGGGCTGCCTCAGGGGGCAAGCTAGGGAGGGAGAGTAGCCTGGTATTTAGAGGAGATATGGGAAGAGAGATCACGGCTTGGGCGATTTTGTGGCTTCTCCAGCCTGCAGCAGACAAGCTTGGGCTGCCGTTGCTTCACCAGATGGCCCTGGCACATGAAAGGGCACAGTTGACTTCCAAGAGAAAATGCCTGGCAGGAGGGCATTAGGTTGGTTTCCTGCAGTCACAGAGGCAGGCCAAGCAGCTGCCTGCACAATGGGCCTTGAAGGAAAGGTGCTTCCACAAGGCCCTGTGGGAGGGATCAGTGTGGCAGATGCATTGTGACTGTCACTCTTCACTGATAACTCTTCACAGCCCAGGAAAGCCACATTGAGAAGTGCTGGCATGCCAGAGTTGAGCTCACAGCCACAAGCATGGCTGAGCATTGAACCCCTACAAAGCAGAAATGCAAATACACAGGCCCGGCCATGCAAGGTGCTACAGTGGGGCCAATGACAGGGCTTCCCCGGCCAGCAGCCCTCTTTCCTGTGGCATTCCAGGAATGCCAGCTCTCTGGCCTCCCTAGACCTGCAGAGTGCTCAGGGCTGTCCCTGACCCTTTGCTGATTGAGCCATGGCATACACGGTGCTCGAAGTCCACCCCAAGGCTTCAAAGAGCCTGGCTACTGGAGAAAAAAACCACATTCAGACTATTATCCTCTCTCTCATAAATAATCTCTATTGGTTTTCTTCCCATTATAAAAGTGATAGATGTTTGTTGTGAAGGATTTGAACAATAAATAAGGGTATAAAAAACCCTCACTGTCACAAATAATAATTCTTAGTGGTTTTCCCTGATCCTTTAGAGGCCTTTTCCTACACTTATCCAAACATGATTTCCAACAGAAATATGATTACCACAGACATTTTCTACAACTTGATATTTCTCCCTAACCACCTAGCTCAGATTTCATTCCATGTCAGAACATTCAAATTACACTGTTCAACAGCTGCTTGGGCTCCCTGAAAGGGACACAGAATGGTCTACTTAGCTGATATATGGGTGTTATGATTGTGAATGTTTTTACTCTTATGGAGGGTTATAGATGTCACCTCCCTTAGTATATCTTTATACTCAGTGCCAATAACTTTTCCCTAATGAGCCAGTTGAGGACCAGTTGAGGATCATTTAGTCCCAGAAAGGTTGTTCTGCAGATCAAATGGTTTGTTTTCAAAGAAAAATTAAGCAAGCACCTGTTCCACATCTTTTCTGAGCTGCCCCTACCTCACTAGTTCTACAAGTCTGACCAAAGCACCCTGGAAAGTATGTTATTCTGGTAAATCTTTCTTTTTACTGTGAAATTTTAAGGCCTCTAGATTGTGCCTTCAGTCTTTCTGATTTTTCTTGGTAGTCCTTTGACCAATTCTAATCTTTCATATTCCTCAGTGTTTCTCCTTCCCTTAGTAATTATAAGTATCTTTCAGCTGTTGAAGCTTGGCATGATGCTTTCAGCACACTTTAAAGATGATTGGTTCTTTTCCACACTTTATAGTACAATCTGACTCACATCCTGGTCTGACTTACCATGGCATATACTTATATCCTATGCACAGAAATAGCATATGTGGCTCGCCAGTCAGCTGGTCCCTGCCTCTGTGACAAACATAGCAGACGATGGGATGGGGAAAGGCCACGTAACACAGCCAGCAGCAGTGCAGACTGCAGCCAGCAATACCACGTTTGAGGGCCACAGGGTTTGGGGGCACAGTTGATGTTTGGAGTCACTTAGTAACATTTTGAGCATACGAATCCCCAAGACTACATGGTGTCTTAGAGCTGCATCCGCCTGAACTATTGCAAACTATGCTAACTTCCCAAATATGCTTATACCAACATCCCTCTGTCTGGTTGTAGAAGATCCAGTTTACCTTTCACCAGGAATTAACGACGGCATTAGACTGGAGTACATGCCAGATGAGACCCCACTGGCTTTTAAAACAGCCCCCACAGGGCCGGGGATTTAGCTCAGTGGTTCTGCCACCTGCCTCGTAAGCACAAGGTCCCAAGTTCGATCCCTGGTACCGAAAAAACAGCCCCCATTGACTGTATTGGCAGCTCTTGCCTTTGCCTGTGAAGGAAGGGGCAGCTGATGTCTCTGTCTCCTTCATGCAGTTGATGGATTAACCCGCACCATGCCTCATGACTGATCCTGCTCACCAAATTGACACACGTAGAGTCTATTTGAAATGTGCATCAATAAGAGTATGATGCTAGCCACTGCATACAGACCCTTGCTCTGTGTCTACATCATGTCAGCCATTTCTGATTTATTTTCAAATCTGCACAGTCATGAGCAGACAGAGCCAAGGAAATCCTCACTCTTCATTGTACCTCCAGGAAAGCAGCTTTTCAGTGATCATGAGAATTTGTCAGCTGCCAGCCAGATGGGTGATCAAGCTTGACTAGGGAGTGGATAGGGCTAAAAGTTGTTGACAGGTGTGGTGTTTGGAGGATAGGCTCAGGGGAATAGCTGAGGCTGAAGCCATGTAGGAACCGGCCTACCCTCTAGCCTGTGGGAAGGCTGAGAACTTACTAGGGAAGAGGCAGAGCTGCAGCAAGAGGTGAGTGAGCATGTGGTAACTGCTGAGTACCCCAGGAAAACCCACAACTCCACCCAACCCTGTGTCCTGCATCAGCTCAGTACCAAGCAGCTGGTAGGTTGGCAGCTGCACATTGTCCTGGGCCCAGATGGAGGACAGGAGGGAGCTGAACTGGCGAGCTGGTGAAAACAGAAATAGGGGCTCTCACCTCAGGGTTCAGTCATGTGCCTCACCTCACCCGGGCTGCATGCTTCTTTGCTAGTTCTCTCCTTGGTCGAATCACATGCCTGGTGCCTTGGTGTTCTGTTCTGGGTAGGGGGGCAGATGTGGTTACCAGGACGGCATGGGCCTTTGCAGCCATTCCTAGCCCCTAGTCACTGGTGACAAGAAGAAACACTTGATGCTCTTTGTGATACCTCACATTCTTTGGTGTTCGGTTTGATGCGAAGCGTGGCTGACCCACTGTCCCGTTAGACGTGGCCTTTAGCCGTCAGAGTGTGTCTTAGCACAACTTCTCCACCAGCACAACCCAGCAGGGCCCAGGAGTCAGGACGCTATGTTCCTTGCCTCCTATTGCAGTGCTCTGAGCTCAAGTCAGCAAGAATCCCCATCAGCATTTGGGGGAAAGGGATGTCTAAGTCTCTTTCTTAGGAGCCGTGTAAATGAAACTGCTTGAGCAATTGAATTTTGGAACAATTGTTAATGTATCACTCTATATGGAAACACACTGCCCCTTAGATGCTCCTTAGTCTCATCAGTTAGAAGAAAATATTTAAAGAAAAAAATCAAGTTTTGTTACTGAAGTGTAGCTTTCTTGGCTGGCATACAGGACTGAATTCCCACCACGCAGGGATAAAAACATTATGATAGTTTTGTAATATTTTATTCTCATCAAGTAATAGCTGTCTAACAGTCCTGCAAAGTTTTCTTGATTCTCTTCTTGCCAATAAAAGAGTATGTGGTGTAATCCCAGAGTTCTGGGAGACAAAGACAGGAGGATCACAAATTTAAACCCATCCTGGGCAACTGAGGGACTTAAGACCCTGCCTCAAAATGAAAAACAAAAAAAAGTTTGGGGGTGTACTGGATTCTGGGTTCAAGGCGCAGTACTAGAAAAAAATGGGTTCTTGAGGTTTGCTGAACTCTTCCTGAGTGAGGAGGTGAGGTGTGATCGTCCACTCTGGAGCCTCCTTCGCCCCAGGTGACAGCACCCAGACCTTTTGCTCTGTGTGACAAGAAGAGAGTACATTTTATCCGCATGCATATCCTTGTTTTTGTTCCCCATCTGTTGTTATTTGGCTCCTGGAACAGTCTACTTCCAAGAAGACTGTTTATTCCATCCAGAACCTAAACATAGGCTGGGATTGATTTCCGGGCGTGGCATGAACACTGCTGTGGTTGCAGGTATATGGGACAGGGCTCTGGGTTCTGATTCCCATCACAGTGTCCCTGTGTAATGAGTAAGACATTTTGGAAAATGATAATGTGGCACCTGGTGCCCTGTTCGTCTCCACAGCATAGTAGTGTTTTGAGATGCGGCAGTGGCCATGGGTAATTATTACCCCTGTGGTTTCCTGAGGGTGTGGGGTTTTGTGTAGCTTTCAATAAGTTTGACTGTGGCAACAAAAATAGTGTAGTTTTTCCCTTTTAAAATGTAAATAATTCTAGAGGAAAAAAACAAACTCAGTCTAAATTTTCCAACAAATCTTACTCTCCCAGGGGCCGGGGATTTAGCTCAGTGGTTTCGCCGCCTGCTGCGCAAGCCCAAGGACCTGAGTTCAATCCCCAGTTCCAAAAAAAAAATCTTACTCTCCC